ATCTGGAGGAAGAGGTCCCGGTGACCCTTCCACCCCTGCATGCTCTCCGAGCACGGGAACCCTCTCAAGCCTTAGACGCCTTGCCTCCTTCAGTGCCTCCGGCAGAACCAGGTGCTCCCCCAGCCTCTCCAGTCACCAATCGTTTGCGCAAGCCATCTGGGGCTGCAACTACCATTCAGGGAGACTCAGGCTCCGCCGCACATGGGCTCGGATGGTATGGAGCAACCAGGTCGAACTGTGGTTTATTATCAGCCATTCACCACGACTGACCTCCTTAATTGAAAACATTATACTCCGTCCTATTCCGAAAAACCACAGGCTCTGATTAACCTTATGGAGTCTATCATGCAGACTCACCGCCCAACTTAGTTTGATTGCCGGCAGCTCCTACTTACTCTGTTCAACACGGAGGAGCATCAATGCCTTATACAAGAGGCACACCGTCACCTGGAGGTGACTGCCCCTGTGGGGACCCTAGACCCTATCCAGTGGGCCCGACTAGCAGCCCCTGAGACCCAGCCAGACTGGGACCATAACACAGAGGAAGGGCAAGCGGCCCTGGCCCACTACCGTGATGCATTACTCCGTGGAATCTGTGCCGGGGCACGGAGACCCACCAATATGTCCAAGGTGGCAACGTCACTCAAAGGCCGGACAAGTGTTGAGGAGATTTTTTTTGAGCGGCTGTATGGAGCCTACCCCATCTACACTCCTTTTGATCCAGAGAGCCCCGACAATCAGCGGATGGTCAGTACAACCTACATGTCACAGTCAGCCTCGGACATCCGAAAGAAACTCCAGAAACTTGAGGGTTTTGCTGGGATGAATATAAAAGCCAGCTAGTCGAGGTTGCTAACAGGGTCTACAACAGCCAGGAGGAAGTTGCCCAGAGGGAGACACAAAGAGGATAGAAAAGAAAGCGGCCCTTCTGGCTATGGCCCTCGGGCGCCCTCCACCAGACAAGGAAGGTGAAAGAAGAAGGGAGGGAGCAGGGCACCGGAGCGTGGAGCGAGACCAGTACACTTATGTAAGGAGAGAGGGCATTGGAAAAGGAAGTGCCAGAACCGGAAGAAAAAATTCCCCAAACAGGAGGCCGAGGGAGCAGCTCCCTCTATCCTCCACTTGGCCCGGCTGGACTCAGGCTGAGTAAGACTGGGCTCTCTGAATCTAGGCCCCCAAGAGCCCATGGTCCAAATGAAAGTAGGGGGCCACAGCCTGCCAATCATGGTAAATACCAGCACAGAACACTCAGTTGTAGTGACTCCAGTGGCTCCCCCATCAGGGTGAGAAATCACCATTATAGGGGCCAACAGACACCCCAGTAACCCTAAATGATTTTGCCAAGCCCGCACTGTAGAACTAGGGGGACATACCGTCAGGCACGAGTTCCTCTGGCTACCCGAGTGCCCCAACCCTTTGTTGGGACACGGCCTACTCACAAAACTCGGAGCACGGGTCATCTTCCAGCCTTCTGGGGAAGCCCACCTGCAGGTACAGACTCTGAGCATCCTGGCGTAGTTCTCCCGAGGGAAGGAGAATATCAGCTTCACTCGGAGGACACAGGAAACCCAAGTGAGACGGAACTGGGACCGGGACTGAAGGCCCAGCTGCGTGAAGAATACCCCCAAGGTCTGGGCTGAAGGCAACCCGCCCGGAGGAGCTAAAACCCAGACCCTGATAGTCATAGAACTCAAGTGGGAGACTAAGCCCCGCCACTTGCGGCAGTATCCCCTGTCCTGAGAGGCTTGTCTGGGGATTTCCGAAGTCATCCGCAGACACCTACGGGACGGTATACTAGTCCCCTGTCAGTCCCAGTGGGACACCCCTTTTCTGCCAGTCAAGAAGCCGGATGGGAGATGGGAGCGGGTACCGGCCTGTCCAGGATGTGTGGGCTGTCAACAACGCAGCTGTAACCCTCCACCCAGTTGTCCCAAACCCATACACCCTTCTGAACCAGCTTCCCCCAGCAGCAACGTGGTTTACCTGCCTTGATCTGAAGGATGCCTTTTTCTGCATTCCTGTGGCACCTTCCAGCCAACCCATTTTTGTCTTTGAAAGGGAAGACCCACAAACTGCAGTCAAGACTCAATTGACCTGGACTAGACTGCCTCAGGGGTTTAAGAACTCCCCAACCTTATTTGGGGAAGCCCTAGCAAGAGACCCGAAGCCCTACGCCAAGGGGGAGCCAGACCTGACGATTCTGCAGTATGTAGACAACCTACTCCTGGCAGCCCCATCCCAGGAACCGCGGCTGGAGAGAACACGCACGCTGCTGAAGTGCCTGGCTGAATTAGGGTATCAGGTGTCCTGGAAGAAACAAGTAAAATACTTAGGGTTCCTCATCTCACGGGGAAAGAGGACCCTGAGCACTGAGAGGAAGGCTATCATAGCTCAATTCCCTCCCCCTGGCTCTCAAGGGGAATTGCGGGAATTTCTTGGGGCGGCCGAATTTTGCCAGATATGGATGCCAGGATTCACCACCATGGCAAGGTCCCTCTACCAGGCCCTGAAGGGTCCAGATACCAAACCCCTAGAATGGGGAGAAAATGGGGAAAAAGCTTTCCAAGATATCAAGGGGCACCTCAGTGATGTTCCTGCCCTAGGACTGCCAGATCCGGGGTGGCCGTTTATTCTGTATACACACAAGAGAAACAAGGTAGCCCTTGGGGTCCTTACCCAGCCTGTCAGACCATAGCAATACCCTGTGGCTTATCTGTCTAAGCAATTGGACAATGTCGCCACTGGCTGGCCGCCTTGTCTGAGGGCAGTCACTGCTGCCATGACTCTCTTGCAAGAGTCAGACAAGTTAACTCTAGGTCAAGAAATCAGTCTTCACGTACCACACGCAGTGAACAGTCTCCTTGCGGGGCAGGGACATAAGTGGCTGTCAAATCCTCCATTGACTCAGTACCAGGGCATTCTCCAGGGGAACCAGAGGGTATAAGTTAAGACCGTGAAACGAGTCAATCCAGCCACCTACTTACCAGCAGAGCTTGGAGAGCCAGACCATGACTGTCTCAAAGTAACTGAAGAGGTCCACGCCAGCTGGCCCAACCTCTGGGACCAGCGCTTGGCCCGACCTGATGTCACCTACTTCACGGACGGGAGCAGCTATACGGCTGAGGGCAGGAGAGTCGCCGAGTACTCGGTCGTGGACAACTACAGGATAATAGAGGCCAAAGCACTGCCAGCAGGATGGTCAGGACAGAGGGCCAAACTGTGGGGGCTAATAAGGGCTTTGGATTTGAGCCAAGACAAGAAGTCAACATTTACACAGACTCTTAATATGCCTTTGCCACCCTCCACATTCATGGTGCTATGTACCAAGAGCGAGGATTGTTGACAGCAGAAAGAAAAAAGATAAAAAATAAACAAAAAATACTCCGGCTACTAGAAGTGCTGTGGGCACCCGCTGAGGTGGCCGTCATGCACTGCAAAGGCCACTCTAAGCCTGATACCACAGTCACCCAGGGAAATCAGAAAGCAGACCAGGCTGCCAAGGTGGCGGCACTCGGGGCAGGTCAGGCAAGAATAACTGCTCTGCTGTTAGGCCCCCTCCTGGACATTCAAGTCAGCCCAGAGGACTATGCTCCTGCAGAAGTAGAGTGGTCGCACCAGGCCAGGTGTAAGAAGACCCCTGAAGGAGAGTGGAGGCTGCCAAAAGGGAAAATATACATACCTCAGGGGCAAGCTAGCAATCTAGTAAGGCAGTGCCATGCCCTCACGCACATGAGCAAGACCTCCCTAAAAAATCTGCTGAAGAGGTATTTTTATTTCCCCAACCTGACAGTACTTTGTACGTCTGCCTCAGCACAATGCACAACATGTGCTCAGAATAATGCCGCCGGGCACCCAGGGATGAGGCCGGGAATACAACACACAGGCAGACAACCCTTTGAGGACCTACAAATAGATTTAACTGAAGTCAAGCCCAGCCGAGGGTTTAAATACTTCCTGGTAATCGTGTGCTCCTTCTCTGGATGGGTTGAGGCTTTTCCTACTAAGATGGAGAAAAGCCGGGAAGTCACTCAAGCACTACTGAGGGAAATCACCCCAAGGTATGGATTGCCTATAACCATTGGAAGTGATAACGGGCTGGCCTTCATCTCACAAGTAATCCAAGAAACAGCCAAACTTCTGAACATCACATGGAAGCTGCACACCGCCTATTGACCCCAGAGCTCTAGGAAAGTAGAGAGAATGAACTGGATTCTTAAAGAAACCTTAGCTAAATTTCACCAGGAAACCGGACTGCCCTGTATAGACTTGCTGCCACTAGCATTACTTAGGGTTAGAAACACCCCTAACCCCTCAGGATATACTCCATATGAACTAGTTTTTGGGAGACCTCCCCCAGTTCTCAGCATATGAAAGGGGTGACTCTGGCTGCAAGGCGAATTAGGGCAGACAAAATATCTCCAGAAGCTGGGGGAAACTTTAGGAAAGATAAACAGGTCCAGTTTGGGCCAGGGACCCCTACCATGAGGGGGGCCAGCACACCCCTTTAAACTGGGAAGTTATGTGTGGGTAAAGGACTGGAAAAAAGAACCACTTCAACCTGTGTGGACCGGGCCACATTTGGTGTTACTAACCACCCCAACTGCCCTTAAAGTTACAGGAATCACCCCTTGGATCCACTACAGCTGGGCCAAAAGCAGCAGCAGATCCTGAGGACCTAAAGACCAAGCCTTCACCCAGCCTACCCACGCTGAAGCTCCGGAGGACACCAACCAGTGGAGAAGACACCAAAAAATGGAACATTACTCCACAGGGCACCTGACTATACTCGGCAACTTCGCAGGAATATTGGGAATTGGACTGTCTGTGACCCCGGCAGAATGGAGTCCCAGGGAGCAAGTCGCCCTAGGAGTAGTTTATCTCTGTTTAGTCTCTGTAGTTGGATATATTGTATGCTTTGTTTGACAAATGTGGGGTCTATCTCAGCCCCAGTCTGTAAATGTAGTGCCCCCGCAGGTAGGATTAGGCTCGGCGGTAGAGTGATGACCTACCCACTTCCAGCTGTAGCTTTCACCTCCTCCACCTCCATTCCATCTGGCTGCGTTCGGCCACAGCCCCAATTCCTCTGCACTGGGGGAGAGAAATTATACCAGACTGGAATAATGGAAGGATCTGTAGGATACCAGTCCCAAAAGTGTCAGGGACATGGATACCCTGGCCAACAAGTATGTTGGAACTATTACCGCCAGCTAAGTACAATGAGCCAGAGAGAGTTTGAACAGGCTAAGAAAGAGGCTGCAAAAGACATAGCAAACCAGTTGGCCCAAGAAGCAGTCATCTACAAAAGGGCTAACCTCATGGCCTTTCAGGAGGCCCGGCAGAGGGTGAGCCCAGCAGTCCAAGTTCAGTACATGGTCCACGCCATGTATGCAGCATACCAGAATGTTACTAACTCCACAAAAGAATGCTGGGTATGTTTGCCTATAGAAGAAAAAGGGTTTCTAGGTGTTCCAGTGCCCCTGAGCTGGAACAGGGCTCATAAGCCCATAGACACAGGTCCTACTGTGATCCAAGGACCTGTAGCTACCATTGTCTTCCTAGATGCTAAGGGAATGAACTTAACCTGTTTGGTGGCAAACCGGACCGCAGAGTCAAGGAATGACGTGGGACCGCTCAACCCCCAGCTCTGCTCTGGTCAATGTAATATTCCCAACAACAGCAGCCTCTGTACTGAACCTGGAATCTTCCTTCTCTGTGGGAAGGCAGCTTACAAGTACCTGCCCCAGAATTGGACCAGGATCTGCATTGAAGTCTTCCTAGACCCTAGCATCAGCATCCGGACCCCTAACGAGATGAGAAAACTACTGCAGCCTAAAGTAAAGGAAGCTTCCCAGTGTAAGGGAGGAGCAGGGGCTGCCATAGCTATAGGGGAAAGTCTTGCAGTGGGGGTTGGGGCAGGAGTCAGGGCAGTGAGATTGTCTGCATCCACTTACTACAAGCTGTCAGCTCAGCTGAGTGAAGATATGGACAACGTAGTCAACTCCCTGACCACCCTGCAGCAGCAGATAAACTCCTTGGCTGAGGTGACCCTTCAAAATCTGAGAGCTTTAGACCTCATTACTGCAGAGAAAGGTGGAACATGTATGTTCCACGGAGAAGAATGTTGCTATTCTGTCAACCAATCTGGTTTAGTAGCAAAAAAGGTAAAAGAATTAAAGGAGAACATTAGAATTTGGGCCCAAGAGCTAGAAAATTGGAATTTTGGATTCAATCCACAGATGTGGCTAAGGTGGATATTGCCTGTTCCGGGGCCCATCCTCATAATTCTCCTAGGCATAACTCTGGAACCCTGCATTCTCCGAACCTTGGTCCAACACTTGGAAGCCACGGTGACTCGGAAGGTGGCCACCGAGGTGTTAGCCCTTCAGCGGTACCAATACCAGTATCAGCGGTTACAACCTTCCCCATGATGTCAGCCACATAGCCAGGTGTATAGTGATGCTAAAGGGATAAAAACACCTTATAGCATCAAAAGGAGGATTGTGACAGGACATAGCTGAGCAGTAGCCATTCTTAGGTAGGCCCTGACCAGCAACTGTTCCCAGACAGCAGCCTTTCCCAGATAAGCAATTATCTCCAGTCGTACACTAACCTTTGCTTTCTGCTCCTGTATGCCTGCTTTCAGCAGCTGCTTTCCTCCTCTTCCTTTTTGTCTTTGTAACAAGAATATAAGCAAACTCCAGCTTAAGCTTAGGGCTCAGAATTTGGAATTTATCTCCTCTGGGTCCGCATGCGTGAATAAAACCCCACTTCTCAAACTCCGAGGCTGTCTGAGTCATCTTTTCCATAACAGTTCCAGGTGACACTGATGGTGCTCTTTCTGGAACCACACATTGGAGTACTGCAATTAGAGCCAAAGCGTAAGAGATTGGGGAATGCCCTGACTGGTATGGCTCAGTTGGTTGGGCGTTGTCCCATAAAGTGAGGGGTCACTGGTTCAATTCCCAGTCAGGGCACATGCCTAGGTTGTGGGGTTGCAGGCATGTAAGAGAGGGCAACCCATCAATGTCTTTCTCTTGCATGGATATTTCTCCTTTTAAAAATAAATAAATAAATAAAGTTTTAAGAAGAGATTGAGGAATAAATAAGAGGTGAAAGATTGAGAGAGAGAAAGGGAGAGAGGAAAAGGGAAAGGGAGAGAAAGAAAGAGAAATGTTTTTCTAGGAAGCTTGATATAGAAAACCAAAAATTATAGTAAGAGATTGAGATGGATATTTACATCATTTTAATACTGAAAGGGACTGAGCATTTAATGTGATGAAGCCATCTCACAACAGATATTTCCCAAAAGGAGCTTTTTAGTGTTCACTCTAATCTCAAATGTGTTTTTATTCAAGCTCCTTCATTCAGTAATGGTACCATTCAGCTGTTGAAGTGAAAAGTATTAGACATCTTTATTATTTCATTTCCTTCCATAGTTATCCCACCATTGAATTTTGCAAGATATACCTGAAAAATATGTCTTTCCCCGATTACTGCAATAAGTTCCAAATGATTTTTTCAGCTTTTGCTTTTGCCTCTACAACTCATTCTCCCACTCCAATAAAAATTATTTGTACTTTTAAATTGAATTTATTGGGGTGACATTGGTTAGTAAAACTATATAGGTTTCAGGTACACAATTCTATAATACATCATCTGTATATTATACTGTGTGTTTACCACCCCAAGTCAGCTTTTCTTCTGTCATTATTTATCCCCTGTTTACCTTCTTCTACTTCCCTCTGTCCCCTTCCCTCCCGAATGATCTTTTAAAACTATAAATCAAGCCATGATTCCCCTGTTTGAAATGCTTCATTGTCTTCCCTTAGAAATTAGACTAAACTTTAAACTCTTTCTAATGGTTTGCATGGCTATACTGCCTTTGATCTTTTCCTCAAACTATAATGATTTCCTTCTTGCTTCAAAGCATTTATTCTTGCATGTCTTCCTGCCTAGAATTTCTCTGTGTCTATACTAAGTTTTGTGCTACTGGAAATACTGGTGGGAGGCTGTGATTTAGCTATAAGGTCTATGTGCTCACTTCACAGAAAGCAAACATTAAATTATCAAAACCTGGCACTTACACACAATCAATGGGCTTACAAAATGAAATACATGATGAACAGAACACTAGCTTTTATGTGTTTATTTTATTTTTGCTCTTTGGAGGCTTAAATATTGTTCTTGGCCCACAGAATGACTCAAGCATCTGACTGTAAGCAGATGGGAAGAGAGGAATAAGGGGGAAAAGGAAAAAAGTGAAGGAAGAGGTAACCAGGATTTAAGGGAGTACTGACAGGTCTGCTCGAAGTCCGGTGGCTGTCGCGGCATATACGTATAAAGGAACTTCAGTGGGACCATCTGAAGCTGAGAGAAGGGGTATAAGCTGGTATTTTTATTTGTGCATATTAGAGTTTAGAATAACACAATTTTATTATAAAATGCGTCTTTTCAGGGCTAGACTTGTGTTCTGAAAAAGTAAAATTTGTTCTACACCACTTCAACGTCATGTGAAATATTTCTAATAGGCCCGACCACCAGCACATCTGTCCTCTTGCTGGCTTTTAGATCAGTAAACCAAAATGTAATAAATCCTTCAAGACTAAAGTATGCTAGGTTAATCTGTGGCAATGCAGTGTGTCACCATAGAATATAAGTTTACTAAGATATTATAGGCCTCTTCTGAGACTAAGGAAAACTGGATTCTTTCAAGTCATCATCTAGAGGAAGATTTATTCTTGGTACAGTGTGACTTTCCTGACTGCTCTTTTCTTAGCTATAATCATTAACATTCAAGTTCACTTTTATAAAGCTTTTGTATTTCATGATTTTGAAAAGCTGGAATGATCATAGGTTAGCTAATTTAATTTTATAATTACATACTCAGAAAAAATAAGTTTTCAAAGTTAATTCTTCAAAAATAGAGCACTTTATTTTAAAGACTAGAGATATATAATAAAAATAAGTAACCCTTGTTTTAAAAGTATGTGGTCATGATAAATTTGTATATTGTTAATGAGCTCCATGTTAAAATCTAATAGTTTTAGTTAGAAATTTATTCTCCTTTCAGGATTGGATTAGATACAGTCTGTATATGTTAGCAATTTTGATGATGGTTTTTGAAAACAAAGTTCATAATATGTTAACAATATAGTAATAAGAATATTTTATTTTGGTAGCATCATGGAAAAATTTTTCTGTAGCATCTAAGAGGTAGATTAAAATTTCACTGTAGGTCATTCAATATGTATTAAATATAAATTACAAATTGAATTTATTGTATTTGCTCTTCTTTTAGATTTTTTAGGTAGTCTGGAAAATGGTTCCATTAGACCTTGAAGAGGAAAAATACCTATAACCTTTTCTAAAGGTACATGTACAAAATACTACTTTCTCTATTAATCAGAAATTATACATGAGGGGTTTAATCTAACTACTAGTAATTTAGCTTTTACTGAGCAAGTGTACTTTCCTTTTCAATCATCTGATCAGCAAATTTTAAACTGAAAACTTCAAGGAAAGAAAGAACAAAAGGGATACATAACTCTCCAAATTCAAGGAACATTTCCCAGCAAACTTTCAGCAGTATGAGAAGCTTCCCTAGTAATTTTTGTGCAATGCTTATTTAGCAGTGGCAGTTTACAAGAAGTTTTCTTGTTAAAATTTTTTTTTGAGAAACATTTGCATCAAAAGAGGCATAAGTAATGTTTACATAAAAATAAAACACTCATCCATGTTCCCATCAAAGAGTTTAAGAAGTAAAATAATGGCAATGATTTAAGGCCCCAGGTATCCCTTCCTAAATACATTTCCACTGTCTCCCACTCTCTACACTAACCTCACATTCTTCATCATTCTCTTTCTTTACATCATATAAGATAGCCTTAGTAATTCTGAATGTGAAATGCATCATGTCACAGAGGGTAATCAGCATATGTGATGTAATTTATATGTGTATATGTGGGTATAATTGTAAGCAATATATACATGCTATTTATGTAGACACAAAATAAAATAATTATTTACAAACATTGAAATTATTGGCAAATAAGTAAGTGAACTCAGAGAAATAAAGTTAATTTTATTTATCTTAAATTAAAAGAGGAGTTAAACCCATATCTTTAATTTTAAATTGATGGCTTGTTCAAAAAATTCTATGATATATATAGGTTTATCTTTGGTAAAAAATATACATGATAAAGTATTACTACAAATTCAGTTATGTTTTTAAAGAAATTTCTGATAGAGTATAAAATATAGACATGCACTTGTGCTAAATATTTTATTTAGTCATATTGTGAACAATGTCTGCCATGTATCTGAATTTAAACATCTCTTCCCTTAAACCCAAAGCATCCCAAAGTATTTGATACTCAATATGGCAATATTACTCTAATCTAGAGTCTAATCATTTTGTTTTGAGTTACTCTGACATTACAAAACAGTAATTATTTTGCTTCATTTATAAAATAAATCAACCCCCAGAGAAGATAGTTGGTTTATAGTAAAATCCAATCTGCAATGTCAAATTCTGCTTTTTATAAGAGAGACACCTTTCTGCAACACTGTATGTATGTATAAATCAAAAAATTTCACAATGAACCAAGAAATGAGATTACAGAAGTCACCCCTATCCATGGGAAATATGTTGTTAGACAACTTCCCAGAGGATGACTAAAACTGAAGATATAGCTGAACTCTATACAGGCCAGTTTTTTTCTCTAAATACATACCTGCGATAAAGTTTAATTTATAAATTAGGCATAGTAAGAGATTAACTACAATAACTAATAATAAAATACAATTATAATGATATGCAATAATAAAAGTTATGTGAATGGTCTCTCTTTCTCTTTCTCATTTTCTCTCAGAATACCTGATTGTACTATATTCACCCTTCTTGTGATGAGGTGAAGTGATACCATACCTACTTGATGAGATGATGTAAAGTAAATGGTGTAGCAACCATAGCATATGATTATTTTTTCCCTATTATATTCAGAATTTTCACCTTTTCAACTTAGAGGGAGCAGTTTACAACGTCCCTTTGTAATATCTAAATTGCCAGCATCATTACTTTTGCATTTGGGGGGCCATTATTTGGTAAAAATAAGGTTCACTTGAACACAAGCACGCAATACTGTAGCAGTCAGTCTGATAACCTAGATGGCCACTAAGTAACTTACCTTTGAGGAGCGTAACAGCCCAGAGACACTGGACAAAGGGATGATTCACGTCCACAGTGAGACAGCATGAGACTTCATCACACTACTGGCAGGCACTCAGAATGTCAGACAATGTAATATTTAGAAATTGCTTATTTCTGGAAGTTTTTACTTAATATTTTTGGATTGTGGTTGACAGTGGGTAACTGAAAACACAGAAAACAAAACCTCATATAAGTCAAAGTTCTTAGTGCTCTCAGAGA